CAGTTACTGCCGTAACATTGGCCAATCAGCCTAAGTGAAAGATTTGACGTAACAATAAACGTTTCAGAAGCGCTCAGATACTTTTGCCATTCAGACAGTCTTTCGTGGTTGTGAATATTACCTCGTTTTGGCGTTTTTCGCAGGCTTGTTAGTTTTTAGTGGTGTTTTGGTAAATATAAGTCCTAATCAAATAACTCAATAATCATTTTGCTTTGTCAAAGTTTCATTTTATATGCAGTAATCAAAAATTAATCTATCTAGAAATAGCTATGATAGACTAAGCCAAACTTCCACACGGCACATTTAAATGTAAAGTTGTTGAATGTATTGAATTAAAATGATAGTTTGAAACATATAAACCGTTTTATATAGGCGCCAACTCGCAAAACCATTCTTGAAATCAGTACCAATAATTTTGCAATGGTAAGTATAAAGCGGAAGAATTTTGCTGGGATCGAAAGTCGGGGAAACATTCATTACGTAGTTGTTTGCATTGTTATTATTAACTGGTATTATTCTACTACAAAGACAATTGTGTTGTTTGGTAGCAATGCGAGGTTAGCAGTAGTCGTGTGGAATTGCTTGATAAAGACAGATGATGAGGTTTTTCCATTCAAAATTAAATAGTTAGGTTGCTGTTACATTTGTTATTGTAAGACATTCTTGATTAAATTCAAAATTTAGCGGGGTTAAGAATTTTAAAGGTAGTTTTAGTCACAAATAATGTTGACAAATTGGTAACTGAAGAATACTCCAAAAAAGGCGCGAGCGGAAGATACAAAGGAAAAGTGAGAACAGAACACCGCATGCATCTTCAAACATCTTTGCGTCTTCAAGCAGTGGGGATCAACGCCCGACAAAAGACTCATCTTCTCACCCTCATCGGATAGAAATACATTACTCAAACCATCCTTATAAGCGGAAGTACAGCGAAGAATTTATAAAGCTTGGTTTCACGTGTATTCCTATAAATGATGAGTCACGTCCTCAATGGTTGTTTGTTCCGGTGTTCTTGCCAACGAGAGCCTGAAAGCAGTGAAATTGAAACGCCATCTTACAGCAAAGCATCCAAAATTCATTGACAAACCAATACATTTTTCCGCCGATTAAAAAAAGAATTGTTAAGCGAAAAGAAAACAATGACAAAATATCTAAGCGAATAACAAGATCGAAGCTTTTAACAAGAAAACTCAACACTGGACTGCCCGAGTCGAAAATGGAAGAATGGATATGTTTTCTGAGCTGAACGATTTTCTCGAAGAAAACGAGTTCAGTCAAAACATTGTGAAACAGTCCATAATCAGTCATCTTCATGATTTTTCGAAATGGTTTAATAAATATTTTCCCGAAAACACAACACCACAGCAACACGACTGGATATTATCACGTTTCACAACATCTATCATCAGATTTGACTGAAGCATTGGATGACTTGTCAAGTAATCGCGGGTTGAAGATCGCATTTAATGTCAAAAGAAGTTTGGCTGAATTTTGGATTTCAGTTTCAAAAGCATATCCGGAGTTATCAGCTGCTGCAATGAATGATCTGTTGTCATTCGGAACTACCTACTTATGTCAAAAAACCTTTTCTGCGTTTTCATACATAAAAAACAAATACAGATCAAAGCTAAAAGTAGAAGAAGATCTTCGAGTTGCTGTCTCCCAAATTAAACGTCGAATTTATATGTTGTGTTCAAAACACAAAGCTAATAATTCGCATTAGTCATAATAAACGATATTATTCACAATTTTATGTGATGAGTTTCATATAATTTTGTGCAAGAAAATTGCTAGTGTCAATAATAGTCTCAAAATCGATAACTAATTACATGTTTACAAAATGCTTGGGTCGCGAGAAATTGGAAAAACAATTTTTGGGTCGCGCTGAAAAGTAGTTGCGGAACCCTGGACTAGAAAATTAATTTCGCTCGTTTAAACTTTCAACGACGCTAAGACAAAATGTATACACTCAGATGAGTGGTCCCCCATATTTGCCAGTTTTGAAGGATAATTCAGACGCTCACTGTTTTAGCTATTTCGCCTGTAATCCCTTACTTATGACTAGTCTGCGAAAGAAAATGCTGGACATGCAATGCACGCATCTAGTGAATGAGCCTAGTCATACGGCTTCATAATATAACAATACTTCATCTCATGATCTTACAGATTTTAGCATCAAGTCTGATCGGAAGATGCAATGGGTGTCAGTATTATTGCCATTTTTCAAAAAAAAAGCGATAACGATGTTACGACTGTATTTTTGTGGAGAGGGCTTTGGGTAATTTGATTTAGGCGAAATTAAGTTGTTTGGGAACCGCTGTCCTAGATGGATGATATATATTTCTATGCGTTTTTTTGCATTTTTCTCAGAAAGGTAAGTGCAGCAACTAGGGATGCCACTTTTGGATATACGAATCGGATCGATTCGAATCGCATCTTTTCCGAATCGATTCGAATCAGATTTACGCGATTCGGAAAAAAGAGAGCGATTTACCGAAAAAAAAACATTGAACGTTAGTTAAATCGTTGTTTTCGGCGGCTTTATATCTGCCGAATGGGTTTATGCGGCACTCCAAATAACACCAAATTACAGGACTGAAAAAAAACATCGAACGTTTGTTAATCGTTGTTTTCGGCGGCGTTAAAACTGCCGAATGCGTTTATGGGGCACTCCAAATAACAGCAATTTACGGGACGGAAATAAATGTAGATGAATTTTTTGGGATTGATTTTTTACTTATCTGCCGTCATTTGTTTCAAGACGGCATACCACTGTTTTACGCATCACTCGAGATAATGTGGAGCGTAATTTCCACCAAACTGTGAGTTCAGTTTTCCACTGAATAGCCTAAGTTTCGATTATGCGCGAATTTAAATGGAAGGTATACTTGAGAATTCGTGACAATTTTGATGAAATTGTTCAACAGCACACCTGCGCTGCGACCAAGTTATTGTACGCCCTGGCATGATTGGATAAAGAATCAGCTACCGACGTCTAGATAATATTTAATTTTGATTGAAATTTAATCTAAACTTCGTTCTGAGTGAAATATTCCGCGATCATTTGACGGGAACTATTACTGAATGAGTTCATCGGCCGGCAATGTTAATTGACAATCATGTTTCTCATCCTGGAAAAAATTTATATTTATTTTATTTGCGTTTGTCAGGCTTCCACTCGAGTGGCGGTAAACGAAATCAGGGGGACATAATGTAATAGTAGAAACACGTCTTTTTTCAGCTGTTACAAAAAAAAGTAGTATTTACTTTTAATTTTGTTAGAGCGATACAAGCGGGAATAAAACATTTCGGATTATTTCTAGCAAATGTCACAACGTTTACATCAAAACGTACCAGATTTCATACCAGACCAAGTATATGGTGCGAATGTCGTCCTACTTTATCCCCAGGGACCATGTTTGATCGAATAAAGCGTCGACCAATTATCGCTCGTCAGCGCGGCGTCCATTATGCACATTTGGACTTTCTGAATTACGAAATTAAACGTATTCCACGATAATAATGGAGCCCGAGTTAGCCACAAATAATATTGTCTCTGATATATATTTCTGATATATATATACCTGAAATTAATTTAATTTAATCTTGGTTAATTTTATCGTCTCCAAGCATATTCTTGCAAGCATTTCCCATTTATAGTAATTCAGATGCAATTAGAATGTTTTTGTCGTATAACTCTATGCTGCTAGCATAAATATAAAATAAGGCCGGCCTCAATTCAATATAACAAGAAGTGAAATACCACATTCACACATACTGGTGTCGGACTAAGGAAAGCAGTGCTGTCACTGTGTTTATGACATAGCAGTACAACTGTTCCATGCTTTTTTTCTCATATGAATTCCATCAAATTGCCTCAGTCCTGGTACAAGTATGACACAATAATAACTCAGTATTGTGAGACTCACAGATAAGTTGCAACAGCAAGTTTTTCATCAACGTATTTATTGGTGATATCTATGACCTACATCTTTTTTATCATGATGGAAATAAGTGTGGCTTATTCACTGAAAACCCCTTATCATCCTTGCTATATACTCATATAGCGTATTCCATTTTTAAGTTTTTCTCTCCTAGATTTGAGTTTTTTTACTTACGCATACAATAAAAAAAGCTTAATGGAATCAGATTCGGAAAGATTCGATTCGAAAATTTCTGATTCGAGATTCGAATCGGAAAAAAATGTATCCAGAAGTGGCAACCCTAGCAGCAACAACTATGAAAGTCACAAAATTCTAATTCACGATATGTTTATTTTTAACAATTTTATTCCTTAGTTAGGTCGCTCACGCTTCATCGATTGTTTTGTTGTAAACAGGCAAGTCGGCATTCATGCTCATAAACGACGCGACAAAAATAGGCGAACTGGAACGAAGCTGAATTCGGTGGTGACGCGAGTACAAGTTGGATGGTTTTGTAAATACATGTTTCATTGTACGTGACATGACAACTTCTACAAATGCGCATTTAGGAATTTAATTATCTTAAAAATTCTTCACTGCTTGCAAATGTACAGCCGCAATTGGGCGATGCTCCAGAGGACGGTCTGCGGTCGTGTTGCCTCGGAACACTACAGACAGCGCCCGATCAACGCAATTTATCAGTACAGCTCAGGGTTTCATAGAGCAAAGCAGTAAAGATCATAAAAAAACGTTTTAATCTATGATATAGAGTCACAGTTTAATACTTGTTGAATCGGAACCGAGCTTTTAGTTGTAATTACGAATACAACTGTAGAATAGCACCGCGTATTATTAACGGATGTGTGTAAAAACAACTATACGGCATAATAATTTTATGGCAAATGGTTCAAGGACAGAATACCTTCAGCTGCAATATTCCTCTGCATTACAAACAGAAGAATACAGAATGAATATTAATAGTATATGTCCATGAACTCGAACGTGGATGATCTAAACTGGATATTTTATTCCTAACACAGCCTTTTAGTTTATGATACTAATATACATTAATTTAAACCGCATGGATTAAGCGATCGTTACAAGCAGAACACATGGCTGAAGGTGGCCAGCAAAACCAACAGCATCAACAAAATGTATATCACATTAATATTGCTCTGCACGCTCAACAGAATCAAAGGGAACTAGTACAGTAAGTTGGTTATTTGAACGCTTAACTGAGTTTGGGAAGTGATAAATGTTTCCAAGAATTACGACTATCATCTGCCAAACATACGCAATATCCGCATTAACATGTTCTCACCGGGGACACCTTTCCTGTCTCCCTCTCAGGTCTTCTGGTATTATTATGCGACAATTTGGTACTATGGCCTCGGATTTAATTTTACTATCTTCAACGATAAGTCGCTCAAACGAAAATTGAAATGTCAATATTTCCTAAAATTGTTCATAATATTTCTTCAAACAATATAGTTGGTAATATCTAATCTATAGCGAGTAATGTATAAGCTAATAATATGTAAGTAAGTAGTACCAGCATGTTTGGTTGAATTATCGGTTCATTACACTAAGTCAGTGAGCGGTTGTTCGATTAACCATGGGAAACAACGATAGTAATTAGTTTGGCACCCCTGATTTATGTCGTTGAATATTTTATTCAGAGCAAGAACAACTGAGATTGCTGCAGGGAATATTGAGAATATAATAATTCCACAAGCAGATGAACAACAGGCAGCTCAGAATGTTGAACAAGTAGCTGACAACGTTCAACCGGATAATATCGCTGAAGGTGTCGAGCCCTTGAATTTGTCATCAAAAAATACCGATGGTTCTCAGAGTGGAGCAATTAAAAAGAGAGGTCAGTTGTGTTCTCTGTCAGTTGTATTCTCTGTTCTCGTTAGTTAGTATTTAAATTTGTGTTTTCATATAGCATACAATACATTGCTTGTTTTAAATATATATTCATTCATAATAATCGGGATGCAAACCAGCATTTACAAAATATTGTTTGGTGGCAAAATTAATTAACCATAAATATAAAAACCAAGTATAAGCAAACACGCTCAAGAATCATTCTTATATTAGTAACACGCTTAAAATAGCGTTGCAAGCCGCTGTCTTACATTGAAGGAACATCTGCCCCAAATTAGTCACCGGTCAAACTCTTTTATTACATAAAACAATTTACGCAAATCAAGCTCATGCGCGCTCACTCGGAGGTAAAAGGGGGGTGATGTCTGAACGAAGTTACAGCTGCTACTGACGTGACATGAGCTAACGACATTATACGGAATTACAACGGTGAACTCAGTGTTCTTACAAACCGATTGACCCAATACTTGAAGCTATCCAAACATTAATTTGGCTATAAAATATTATTCGAGCACTAATCTATAGTCACCATGTCTTATATTCTTCACTTATAATCTATCCCTTTCCTGGATTCTCCAGGAGAATCTGCACGAGACAAAATGGCTCAACAACTGCAAAGGCCGCTGCCATCTCCCAACACTGCAGGAGATGGAAATAATCCTCTGAAGATTTCAATGCTGCGAAGTAAGTAGAGAACGTGAAGAACAGGCCTAACAGTGTGGAAAATTTTTAAGACGGGAAGATATAGAGTTAAAAAGATGCTTATTTATCTAACGTATCATGAAATGGATATTTGGTGAATAGTTTTGGCCTGGCCGCTGCATATAAGCAGGTCTTAAAGAACTTGATGCCGATGCGCTTACTACTGAGCAATAGTGAAACTGAAATGCTGTAACCGGTAACATTTGTTGCTACTCGTCTAATTTTAAAGTATGCAGTCATAAAAATTAGCCAACTTACCGTCATTTTTCAGTTATTATGTTCCTTCACTAGGTATATGATCTCGTCTTAATCGAATTCAGCGTCTCAAAATATGAGTTAGGCTAGAGCTAACGTTGCTACTTACCGGGTCGAACCCATGACCCATCACCTCACCCAGAGCATGATATCTCGAAACAAGGCCCAAGACAATCAGCCACTGATACACATGGTGACGCTATATTCAGTAATCATTCATTTCTCCTATACATTTGGAAATACTTTATCGAGACTTTCAACCCACTGACTATCTCATCGTAGGTTCTATTTATGGTATGAGTACGACGTTTCTATTATGTATTGTATTTTCAGAAAAATCTTCCAAGTTCTTCGACGAGTCCAAATATGAAGAAGCAGCCCCGATCTTCGAAGAACTGCAACCCTACAAAACCATCAAGATTTCGATACAATACTTATGATGGTCGAGTGTTTCATACAACTTGGCAGAGGAAACAAAGCGGAAAAAGCTATCGCCAACTTACGAAATATTTTGATGGCGTCATCGGTGACCAGTGCTGATGACGTCAAAACCGTCGCAATCGATTTGATTTCAAATTCCGCTTACATTCGCGCTATAATATTGCTTCGAATAGCAAGTGATATCTACAAGGCTCGTACAAGATCACCTGATGATGTGATAAATGGCATTGAATTTTGTGTCCGTAAGACATATTATGCCACTAAGCCATTGATAAAAGCCGGTGGTCGATCTAAAATTATAGGAGTGGATTACGGCATAGAATACATGACAGAAATGCTGGATGATATTCGTGCAATAGAAAACGCTGATCCAGTGAATAAAGCAATACAAGAGGCTTGGTGCTGTGAATACATTGGATATAACTATTCACTGGCAGGTGAATATGAGAAAAGTATAAAAATCAGAAAGAATGGACTGGAGGTTTTGGAGAAACAGTTCGGGTCAAACGCTTCAAAATATCAAATCTATGGCGGATTGCTGCATAATACCGGTGCAGGGTACCATAATCTGCAGAAATATGAAGAAGCAGAATCTTATTTTATGAAAGCCATTGAAGCTCGTGAAAAGGCTTCAGATTATGAGAATGAAGCTGAGAGAGAGAAATGGATTGAATTTTCAAAAACTTGGCTCAAGAATGCTCGTGATCTAAAAGACACTCGAGCAAAATTAACCTGATACCCGCATCGCATATTCACGGCAAATCGTAATTTACTAAATTTATCTCATACAATGAATATAATATTCGAACTTTTGATTTACATTTGTTATGTAATTTAATACTGTAAAAAATGGTCAGTAGCAGTGGCGTAACAAGGGGGTGGTTTTGTGGGTCGACCCCCCCCCCCTCCCTTTAAATGTAAAAACAATAAGATCATATTTCTGTATCATAAATATCCATTTTCCGTAGCTTAAAATGCTTTTTAGACCCGCTAGCTGTTTCGATCTAACCTGTCAAATAAAATTTTCAGAACCCCTCCCGCCCCCCCTTTGAAAATTTCTGGCTACGCCCCTGGGTCCAGTAGACCAGTTATATCACACTCAATTTACTAAAATTATCTTAGAAAATGAATATTTTTTAAATATTTAAACTTTTCATTTACATTCAATCAATGCTGTATTATTCAATACTGTTAAAAAAATCAGCAGTTTTACTTGCATTGACTGATCATATCCATTCTCTATAATTTTAACTTTATTATTTCAGTCGCATGTTTTATGAACAACAGATCAAGAATGGTTCATAGATAAATCAATATTTCAAAGTGTAATTATCTATGGATCATACTTGGCCACGCTTTGCATTCAGCTTATATAACAAGTTATCGCAATTACTTGTAGATTTTGGTTAATTTGTTGGATTTTTTCAAAATCTAAGTTTCACTTTTTTTACGAAGTCGCGCAGAATCTTTTATTTGGGCAGTCTGTGTAGAATGTCATAAACTATCAAAAATATTGTAAAATTGTCTCGCATTGCAGCGTTATACTTCTCACAATAACTAACAGATGGACTGATTTACTTTTCTGCTATGCATTTGACAAGAATTAACTGAGCAAAGTTACCATACATGCTGAGTTATTGTAGAATACTATTAATAAGTAGGAAATGCTTTCGTATGGTTACTTTCCAATTTATTGTAATGTTCTTTTATGGATAATTTGTCAGAGGCTGTTGAAAATATAGTAAAATTATCTTGCATTGGCACGAGTTATGTCTTGAAATAACTTGTGGATTGCCACTAACTCGAGAGTGGCGAGATACGGTTTATTTACGTTTATGAATCAGTATATTTCTCGTGTACTCAGTGAAACGAACTTCATTTTGTGAAAATTGTGTTGTATATATTCTAATTGGAGTAATTGAATTTCTTTTGTATATTTTATCTTCGTTTTATTATTTCATGATCAATTTTCAAACGCTGAATTGGAGTTTAACTCAAATTTCAATTGTTTTGACATTTTTTTATCGAATGAAGGAGAAATATGTTCATATTTGTATAACTCAAATAGAATTTCATTCTATTTCTTGAAGCTCAATTATTAGGTTTTTTTGTTGATTCATTTTAAAAAATTTTGCTCAACTCATATTTTTGTCATTTTCAACATAATACCCATTACATAAAATCCATAGAAGTGTGTAGAATGTAGAGAAGACTTATTTCAATTCCACCGAATGTATTAATTTGGGTTTAGATGATGTCTTATCTTTTTCACAATTATTTTGTTGTTTTTTTCACAGTATGATTTAAACTATTGAGTGATCTGTATATCTAACGGTTCGCAAATTTTATTTAAAATGCTTGAATTCAACCAGAATTTTTTGTGGCGTTCTTATACCTTTACTTCTAACAAAATGCCAGTGATAAGTGGATGAGCTGAATTTTTTTTAAAAAGGGGAATTTTCCCAATTTAACATTTACAATCAGTGAACGCTGATTTCACTCATCGGGGCTCATTGTTCTTATTTGATGCTGCGAATCAGGTGATGTTTGCAGGATGTTTTATTGTCAAATATCAACGCTGTACTATGTATAATATGCATGGAAAATCTAATAATCGTCAAAACAGCGGGTTTGCTATAATTCAGCGAAGCGTCGCGGGCCGGATTATATTACTCCGTGGGCCGTAGGTTGCCGACCCCTGGCTTGAGCATTTAGCTTCCAATATTTCAGTTATGATTTTCGAAGCGAATTTTTTTTAAAAACTGTAAATTATTCCTCATTACTTTGAATCCCAATAATTTATATATTGTTTCTTATTCACCATTACATGTAAATCTAGTGATTTTACTGATTTTTTATCAGTCAGATTCAACTAAAGCAGGGGTGTGCAACAGGCGGCCTGCCGGCCTTACGTGCTTACTGTTGAAATTTCAAACTCAGTAAATTTTCAACAAGATATTCTTAAACATCGAATTTCGGCAAAATATTTATGACTAAGAAGAGATCCACTATTTAGCAAACTATAATAAATCCAAGCAAAATTGGATGTGTTTGTTAGAGATGGCTATTGCATGATCCGTGTTTATGTCACCGAGCCCAAGTTTGTCAGCGTTTATACTTTCACCGCAGCACAAACCTCTTTATATAAGAGTTTGGTTTATATAAGAGTTTATATAAGCCGTTTGGTTAGTAGTTTTCTCTTTTTTGGATTGCTAGTTTTCTATCTAGTTTCCAATATTTTAGTATTGATTTTTGGATTGATTGATTGCTAGTTTTTTATTGAGTTTAAAATATTTCAGTTTTGATTTTTGATTAAATTTTCCGTAAAAACGACTAGTTTTAATCTCAATATTTTATATATTGAAATTGATTGATCATTTTAGTCACTATTACATGTAAATGTCAGTAATTTTATTGTATTTTAACAGTGTGATCCAACTAAAGCAGGGGTGTGCAACAGGCGGCTCGTGGGTCAAAAGCCGGCCCGTCAAGCCATTTAGTGTGGTCCTTGTAAGCACTCAGATTTTCCCACTAAATATCAAATGATACCCAAACAATTCATGTTGAAGAGAGAGTTCACATTAGTAAAAATACATATTGTTTTATTGTTCATGTCGCTGCGTTAAATCTTTCGCCGTTTCGCCCGGTGCATTTATTACTGTCATTTCAATTTCTTCATCCGTTTTATCGTTTAATTCGTTACGAAATTTTCAATTCGTTGTGTATATGGTCAAACTAATTTTGTGTGGCCCAGCTAGATGTCTGAAGGTTGCTATATGACCCACCAACAAAAAACGTTGCACACTCCTGAACTGAAGCGTGATGTTTTATATATATCTATCGATTCACAACTTTCTTCTGCAATTATCTGGAACGAATAAATTATAATCAAGTATGGCATTATATAATATCCAGGGATTAGCTGTACTAAGTGAACAGTGAGTCTCATTGACACATATCGCTTACGTATCAGATACGCATTATCTATAGATTCTATAGCACAAGCCCGTTTAGTAGGAGAGTATAAGTTCCTAAATACAAAATGGCGTTGATTGTCTTTTGAATCATCGCGCAAGGAAGAAATGTTGAAGTTAACAATATCGCGTATCGATATCGATAATATAATGCTTAATATTTACAACGCTCGGTCAGCAGGGGACAAATAACTTTGAGACTGGTTGGGGTTAAAACAAAATGGCGTGGATTGACTTACCGCTGGTAATAAAGGCTGTAGGTAAAAAGAATAAAAAACGCACCTAGACTGAACAAAACGTGTCAAACAACGCTATGTTGCTATGGATTTTAACGCACCAGATATATATATTAAAATTTACAAACGTCGGTGAACAAGAAAACAATTGTAGTTTGGTCCTCGAATCGATACATGTTACCGTTCTCATACTTAACTCATGCTATGGAGTCGTGGTGAGCACCGGGTTTATCATAATAGCATAGTAAACAGGGCAGACCAAAATATTGAAACCACAACGACTTGGGATCATCCAAGAAAGATCTGTATCCCACATCTGAGATCAATCCATGGGTTGTGATTTCGAAGGCAATTATTTTTTGTTCCATATCGCCACCTCCCGGAACACTGGCATGAGATATTTCAAACCTCATTTTAAAATACTAGTTTGGTTTTGTATATGGGGTATATTGTATTTGTAATGCCCGATATTGTACCGGTATCCTATGTATAAGGGGTGCTACACTGTTACATACAGGGTAATATCCTCCACGTCTATTCGCGCGGAATTATATTTTAAGAAAGTCTTTCTTTCCGCGTAAGACCCCGATGCGCATCTGAAACAAAATGGCGTCGTTTGTGATCAGCATCTTACCAAACAAAACAAGAGAGCGATGCTTAAATATATCGACAAGGCGTAACATAGTTACGCAATCTGTTACAGCAGCGTACCGGTACCGCAGCGTTCAATCCTTCGCTGGACCACAAGATCGCTAACGCGAGGGCGGAACCGCCTGTTAAAATAGCCTTCGAATAATGAGTACAAAGTTTAACCACTGAAAATCTCTAAGCAATTGGTCCAGTAGTCAAAGAGAAAGATTATTACATACGATAGCAACAAGAAGAGAAATACTAACAACACAATAATAACAAAACGTCCACTCCGTGTTCAATATTCAATGCTCATGGCACAGAAAAAACACATTGTGGGCTATGAATAACGTTTTACATTGCCGATGTGGTTAACCACCATGCCTATACTAAAACAGACAAGTTTCTAAACTGCTGAAAATTATGGTTTCCATCCTATTACTACGTGACCACTAATTTACTGATAAGTTAGAATGGGTCTTACATAATAGTTTAGGTTAGCGGGCTAGGATGTAGTTTCAGGGTTGCCAGTTATCCACCGTTGTGCCGAGAACTTTCAGCTAGTCATTGGCATTTGTTAACGATCAGGGTGAAATTAACGGAACTATTTTCGAAACTGAAACTCAGCAATATATATTCAAAGTTTTTAAATTGCGCGCCATTCACCAGCTGTTATGTCTCTGACTATAGGTGCAAACGTACACTCACTGCGGAGTGAATGTTCCTACTATTGATATGTCAGAGTGAAGTTAATAAATCCCTGCGTGTATGTATTTTCAAACCAGCAGAATGAATTCCAACTCTGGAATCACTGTATGTATGCTATTCAAAGATACCCAAGTCTATAGATCCGACGTCAAGTCGAGTAGCGGTGACACACGACCCATCCACGAGAAACGCTTGCAACGACACCTGTATATGTATTTTCTTATTCATGCTTAAAGATAGATACGCCACGCAGCCTCTTTGAGGACTGGACAAAATTTTTTTGTAAGAGGTTAGTTCTACGAGAATGTCGCCTTGGGAAATGGTTGATTCTAAAAATAAGTTTCTAAATTCCGTTGTTTGATAATCCTGACCTCGGACGTTCAATTATTATCATATGTTTAAATAAAAACTAGGCTTCAAAAATAAAAATAAATGAGACAGTTTGGATTTAAAAGGGCGCACACGTTGGTAAAAATCTATATTGTTTTTGCACTTGTCACCTCGTTAAATCTTTCGCCGTTTTGCCTGATGCCTATATTTATGGTATGTGGTAAGCCGTATGTGTTCACCCAAATCGATACATCTTATCTTCGTGAAATGATATTTCAACATTCTTTCGCACTCGAGACCGATGTTCGTATGAAACAAAATGGCGTTGGCTGTGTTCAACATCTCAATTAAAGTGTCCTGAAACAGTTTTAAAATTATCCATGATATGTATTTCAATAATGTTAAATAAGTATACAATATTCATAAAACTGCAACAAATGCAAAGTCATAGTTCCTCCCACAAAACAATAAAATCCTTCCCGGTCTGGAGATCGTTGGCCTATAATACATAATATTTAAAATAAACCAAAAATATGTCGAAACCGCATTCTCTTGTTACAAATGGATATAGGGTCCTAAACAATATTTAAATGATCTCCACCGAGAGCTATCGGGCTTTGGACAGCAGGTTAGGAATATATACGCGATCTTAATTGCCATTTGAGTGGTTACTCCACAGTCTGTGCTTGCCGGACCTTATGACATGATCTTCGTCCCGCGTGTTTTCCAGTGACCTTATTTGCCATACGGATATGCCCATCAGTATTCCCAACCCAAGTCGCCTGACTTGATAGAGATATATTAACATCTTAAGATAAAACAGACAATAGCTATTGAACAACATTCTGAGACTGATCTAGGTTGGTAAAGTATGTTTACATCGTATTTAATATGGGACCAGGATCGCCTACTTTGGGGTAATCATGTTTCGTTTATAATTCAACTCAACACACCGTAAATAGCTTAGTCGCGCATTGTCCTTCTGTAGACTAAGAGAGAAAACAAGTTTCTGGGGAATAACGAACCTTTGTTACATTATAGTTTAGGAAGGTATTGTCGGGTATCGGGTATTGTGATTTAACAAAAGTCTGCTCTGAAAAAAAGTGAAATTTGATCTTATTGTTCCAAATTTTACGGGATTCGTCCCGTTCGACCCCACAGACGGTTGGTATGTTAACTTGTTACGGCCACTCAAGGATAGTTGTGGCGAAGTTGCCCATTCGAAATCGTCAGATCGGAGTATAGAGTTAATAAGTAAACTAAGTCGCCAATTTTAAAACAGCAGAAAGGCATTTAGTACGAGATACCATCGTTGACACCAGCCGCTGTTCGCGCATCGGGAGATTATTTTTCAAGTGTTTTTGTTGAGATATAGGCATTTTTTTATTCATAGAAATTTTATATCCATTATCAACCGAACACTAAGTATGCGATAGGAGATGGAGCATAGTAATTTATTGGAATAGGAAGCAATTTTTTGAGCAAATTATTTGCCGTCGCAATTACAGGGCAGATTTGAAAATGTATGAATATATTCTGGGATATATATACAATGAGACTTGGTGAATGTTCGCGAATCTAACGTAAAGGAATGCCTCAGTTAAAATGTTCGATAATTTTTTTGATTTATAATATCAGTTTATTCAACAGAATAATAAAAATATCAGAACAAAAGCTGCCAGGATTTCAGATGAGACATGTATCCTAAGTAGTTCAAGTAGGGTCGTGACTTGCGGTAGCCGCTCTAGGCAACATTTTGAATTTTACTTTAGTTAAGTAAATTTTTACTTTTTATGTTTTTTCAGAAAATCAGTTTTTGCACTACAGAAATAATTTCTAAAAAATATCCTAAATGTAACAAAAAAGTGCTGTTTTCTCTTTCAATTCGATGATAAATAATAAAACGTTTGACGATTGATCAGAGAAAGGAAAACATAATGGCGGAAGGCGGTAAACCACAACAACCAGTTATTAATCTCTACTTTGCAGGGGCGCCTATCAACGTGCAAGGGGATAATGTCGGGTAAGTTTTATTGGACACGTTTAGTGGACATAACGATCGTTTCAATATTATGTTGTTATTGTTATTATTTGTCTCCATCATTTTCAAAAAATCGCCTTTCTCTTCAAATACTGGACCAATTGCTTTGAAATTTTCAGTGGTTAAAGATAAAATTTTTCTCCAGAAGGCTATTACTTTTTTTCCCGCTATGACTTCATCAAAATTATTGCGATTGGGTGTCGCTACGTGTCCATATATTTGAGCATAGCTCTCTTGTTTTACTTTGTTCTTTTGTTTTATAGGCTGTCACTTAGCCCGTTTACTCGATTTCAAAATTTGTCATATTTCCACTTTATAGATCAAAGACTGAAGTTGGTGCCGGGAAAATTGGTCGAATTATGGTTCAGCAACCAGGTAAATACTCTAATTCAAATTTATTAGGCATCGATGATTAAGAGAGGAATCAAATGAAGTTTTATCCCAAGTTAAATATACCATATATATCATTCCACCTGGTTGAGGTTCGAGCATATGGTTTTAGGTGCTCCGGAAGTATTCGTTCCAAGATGACACACAACCTGAACAACCCTTACCCGGTACACATACTATGTTCAGTTTGTGCGTCATCTTGGTACGAATACTTTGGAAGCATCTGGTTTTAACCCGATATGAGATCGTGCAATACCAACCTAGTCGAGGCTGACGCTTTAATCGACGAGCCAACGTGCAACTAGGGTTTTCTGTAATCTTATGTCCACCATTTTGCAAATTGAAATGAATTAAATTTCTGTCACCACATGAAAACTTTAAAATCCGACCGTTACGATATTGTAAATATTAGGTAATGCGAATCTGCTAGATCAAAATGGCCTGGATGGTATCCGGCACATCGAATTTAGACAATATAGACATGCTAACTTTGGGGTATTTTCAATAAAAATCCACTGCCAGTCACAAAATCTAATATAAAAGGTTGTTATGCCTGGTAAATTTATCATCAAATATTTATTTCTTCACAGATGCAACATCATACAGCCCTGCTCAACCCGCAAGAATATCAAAAGGCGTCGAATCCATGAATATTCAGACTGATTCATTCGCAACCCCAATGCAAACAGGTTTGTTTTAATTGCAATTCGAAAACGTCTACAAGTAATTCAAGAGTATTCCAAACGATACAGAAATATATTTGTGTCAGTTATCTTCACTCTTGCTACGACATCATTGCAATATGCGAAGAAAAATTATTGCCTCTCAACAGTCTCATGTATTAGTGGCTGCTTGTACCTGGCATTGTTCGTAGTGGTGTGGTAACTCTTGAAAATGATATTCGATAGTTAGTATATGGTTTATCTCGATGAAAAGCTACAATTTACATCTGTTTGTTCGACGGAAAAACCAAAATCTTCACAAACAAATTAAAAAAGTTGGCAAGCATACGAGAATTCCCACTTGTAATATCGGACTGTCTGTTATAGTCCATCAATGTTCATTTCACTGAGTGTGTGAATATTTCCACAGACGATCTCAGAGTGCAGGATCTTCAAACGAAGACAGATAGAAAACCAAATCAACTTAACAAAACGCCACCTCGAACTCAGGAGCTCAATCAACAACCAAAACAAACAGCAGCCGGTCCAAGATATACGACCGCACAGAGTGGAATTAATGCTCCAAAGATTTCCATGCTTCGAAGTAAGTAAAACTTTTTTTTCTGCAACATGGTTTTTGGAACAACCGGATTTCTCGATTCCTCTACATTGAATATCTTTACTTCCAACTTCATATTCTTTGAATTCGACAACCAGGTTGTGCATATATATTACGCAATTCTCTATAACGATTTTTTTTTCTTCTAATTTTGTAATTGCATTTTGAGTTTACCAATTGTTCGAGAAATGTTTTGATACACCTTGTCCTTGAAATACTCGGCCACAGAGAAACATTTGAGGTGTTAAGTGGAATGAGAGAGGTGCCCACATGACATCACAATTCTTGCTGATTTAAATCGCTCTCTCAGTCAGTCAGGGGCGTGATTTGATACGTGGGGGGGTCGATCCGTTAGGCTAGAATCACCAATCGACTTGATCTATCTACGTCGTCTAACTCTAAGTGATGTCCAACGCTTTCTCAGCACCGCCACATAATGTTCCATATTCACCGCGTAATTTTCGTCTATAAACTAGTACGGAACAGTTATGATATGTATGTTGGGCAATGATTATTAATGCTGTTTCTGTGGGGTCACCCTGTATGTTAGGTCAGTGGTTCCCAAACTGTGGGTCGCAACGCATAGCGACATCGCTGGAAGATTTTCTGGGGTCGCCTAACTTCCTATGAGCGTGCAATAATTCACATACAACTAACTAGGATGTGAAATCAGGAAAGCGATATTTTTACTGGTCAAGGTAGTAATGAATGCTGTTTGATGATGTATCCCCGTTTTCAGATTTTCTATACGCGTTAAATTCGAATACGTAGTCGACTTTGGTCCGGATCTGGCAACATTCTTTACACGTGCACCTGCACTCTTTCGGCATCGCGATATACTGTAATAAGTTTTAGAGAGAAATAATGTGACAAAAGATAGATCCAGGTCCTAGGCCAGGGCTACTCAACTGGCAGACCGCGATCCGAATCTGGACCATTTGGGTATTTGATTCGGATTGCGCCAATTTTTTAATTTGGATCATTAGCCCCACTTTTGAAGTTTTCTTTTATAAAATCTCTTTTATAGATTTGATTATATATATTAATTAAAAAAATTAAAATTAAAGCTCGTGGTAGCTCCCCTGTCAGACGCCCAGCACCTACCTACCTGCCATCCTATTGGCTTGGTTGTTTCCCGTGGTTACGTACAATGTGTCTCACTCAGTTTCAGTTGGTAGCGAAATTCGGCGAGAAGACGATACGCGCGCGTAACAGTTAAAACAAAATAAATGAAAAAATAAACTAAAATTGCAAAATGAAAAAACGGAAACGCAACACAAAAATAAAAGAGAGTAAATTCTGATTTTGAATTTCACGTGTGTGTGCTGATCCTCGTATAAAACGGTCGATATCAGCCGTCAACTTTTACCAGCTCCTCTCACCTTCTTTGTCCACCATCCTCCCACCCTCCACAGTATTCGCTTAACTTAGTCGGCCAACGCCAAAGATAAACAAACATACCGTTCGTAGTTTTTACTCGTTATTTCTCTGTTCTTTCTTTTTTCCATGTATATCCTTTCTATTTATTATGCGTAATCAAATTCTAACATGTATTTGTTACCGGTTTTAACCATCGTTATAATTTATACAATTGTTATGTCCGAGTTTTGTAGGGGCTTAGAACGGATTTGGGCATTTATGAGGTGTCTTTTTTATGAAATTTTCTACCTACGAAGGTGCTCCAGGAATGAATTATTTTCGTAGGAAAAGTTTATACTGTATTTTTTTTGTGGTGTCGCGAATATCTGTAAATGTTGATTTCACGAAAATTTGGGTCGCGGAAACAAATTTTGGGAACCACTGTGTTAGATGATACGTAATATTTTTAGTTCGCGGTGAATCAATGGGCATGGGGTTTGAACTCGCAATTTACATCTGTTGGGTTGGGTTTTAAGCTTTTAACCAGAAGGTTCAAGTAAATTAATAAGGCTCAAAACGAGAATATCGGTCGGAGACCGAAGACTTATCGATGAAAGTTGGGGGATCCCCATTTATTCACTCTGACTCTATAGTGACACCGCGTGTCCCATCACCAATTAATTAATAACGCTAATTATACCACATAATTCATCCAAAATCAATAGGCTTTTGGTACGAGCTATGGTGAATGTACATGCAAAATTTGGGGCAGATTGTGACTTTCGTGAGATATCGCGAGCATCTGACAGACAGACAGACAGACAAAATAACAAATACATATCAACATACTTACCTATCTTAAGATCGATAAGTAACAATCACTTTTCACTAACTGCCACTTTTACACAGGAAGATACTATTTTCAAAAGTTATTCCGTTCTGCTATACATTGTGAGATCCCTGGTTGAGACTTTCAACGCACTGACTATTTTTTGTATAGGTTTTATTCATGATATATTTTATTTTCAGAAAAATCTTCCAAGTTATTCGACGAGTCCAAATATGAAGAAGCAGTCTCGATCTTAGAAGAACTGGCAACCCTGCAAAACCATCAGGATTTGGATACAATACTTATGATGGTCGAGTGTTTTATACAACTTGGTAGAGAGAAGAAAGCGGAAAAATCTATCGCCCACTTACGAAATATCTTGATGGCGTCATCAGTGACAAGTGCTGATGACGTCAAAACCCTCGCAATCGATTTGATTTCAAATTCCGCATACATTCGCGCTATAATATTGCTTCGAATAGCAAGTGATATCTACAAGGCTCGCACAAGATCACCCGATGATGTAATAAATGGGATTAAACTTTGTGTCAGTAAGATACATGATGCCACTGAGTCATTGATAAAAGCCGGTGGTCGATCCAAAATTATAGGAGTAGATTACGGCATAGAATACATGACAGAAATGCTGGATGATGTTCGCGCAATAGAAAACGCTGATCCAGTGAATAAAGCAATACAAGAGGCTCTGTGCTGTGAATACATTGGATATAACTATTTACTGGCAGATGAAGAGGAGAAAAGTATAAAAATACAAAAGAATGGACTGGAGGTTTTGGAGAAACAGTTCGGGTCAAACGCTTCAAAATATCAAATCTACGGTTTATTGCTGCATAATATCGGTGTAGGGTATTATAATCTGGGTAAGTATGCAGAAGCCGAATCCTATTATATTAAAGCCATTGATGCGTATGAAAAGGCTTCAGATTATGAGAATGAAGCTGAGAAACAGAAATGGATTGAATTGTCAAAAACTGAGCTCAGGAAAGCTCGCGCACAATTAACCTGATATCCGCATCGCATATGCACGGCGAATCGTAATTTACTGAAATTATCTCAAACAATAATAAAATATTTAAACTTTTAATTTACATTTGTTATGTAATTTAATACTGTAAAAAATGGTCAGTAGCAGTGGCGTAACCAGGGGGTTGTTTTGCGGGTCGACAAGCCCCCCCCCCCCTTTAAATGTAAAAAAAATAAAATCATTTTTCTGTATCATAAATATCCATTTTCCGCACCTTAAAATGCTTTCTAGACCCGCTAGCTGTTTCGATCTAACCTGACAAATAAAATTTTCAGAACCCCTCCCCCTCCCCCCCCCCTTTGAAAATTTCTGGCTACGCCCCTGGGTTCAGTAGACCAGTTATATCACACTCAATTTACTAAAATTATCTTAGAAAATGAATATTTTTTAAATATCAATCAATGCTGTGTTATTCAATACTGTTAAAAAAATCAGCAGTTTTACTTGCATTGACTGGTCATATCCATTCTCTATAATTTTAACTTTAGTATTTCAGTTTATGAACAACTGATCAAGCATGGTTCATAGATAAAGTAATGTTTCAAAATGTTATCTTTTATAGATCATACATGACCAGGCGTGAGTTTATTACTTGTTTACCTGTATTACTTAACTTACCAACTTAATTACTTGTGAATTTTGGTTAATTCACCTAATATTTTCAAAACTCACTTTTTGCAATATTACGCACACTCATTTCTGGTCGAAGTTACAGGCTACCACTAAAGTGCCAGAAGCTACTGAAACTATATAGAATTATGGTGATGCACTACACGCACTCATACAGAACTAAAAGAAACTCATATATTAGAAAAGACGACCACTTCCAAATGCCAAGAGCCACTGAATATGATAGAATTGTTGTGGTGCATTATACGAAAAAAGGAACCAACATCTCTGTCAGTAAGAAGACTTGATGTTCATATTTGTATATATATATATATGCATAACCTTAAGTCGAGTTTGGTAAAATGCAAAATTGAAGGAAATTATCAAAAAATGTAAAAAGCGATAATTAAAAAAAAAAATTGAATTTTTTTCTATTCACTTGAAGCCTAATTATCATCTTGTTTTGTTGATTCATTTTTACAAAATTTTGCTCAACTTATATTTTTGTCATTTTTATTATAATAACCATTACCGATTGTTATTTTATATCTATAGAAGTGTGTAGGATGTAGAGAAAGTAATAAAGAGTTATTTTAATTCCAACGAATGTATTAATTTCGTTTACATTGATTTCTCATCTTAAATTCACAATTACATATAAATACCAGTCATTTTTTTGTATTTTTCCCAGTGTAATTCAAATTATGAGCTGATCTATATATTCTTGAATGATTTCAATGGCATGTTTTATGAACGTCCGATCAAGCATGGCTCATAGATAGCAACATTTCAGAATGGAATCATCTATGGGTCATACTTGATCAAGCTTCGAATTCAGCTCATATACCAAGTCAACACAATTGATAAATTGAATTAATTTTGTATTTTTCATTACTTCTTAATTTTAGTTAATTCGTTGAATCTTTTTAACATTGCACACACTTTTTGCAATATTACGAACACTCATTTCTGGTCAAAGTTACAAGCCGCCATTAAAATACCAAAAGCTACTGAAACTATATAGAATTATGGTGATGCACTATACGCACTCATACAGAACTAAGAGAAACTCATCTATTAGAAAAAACGACCACTTCCAATTGCCAAGAGCCACTAAATATGATAGAATTATGGTGGTGCATTATACGAAAATAGGAACCATCTTGGTCGATACGATCAGGAAAACTACCATAGCATGATTTGTTTGTAAATTCACTTAAAATAACTATCTGTTCACATTTCTACAATTTCTAACCAAGATTTTTTTTCATTTCCATCAAATTGTATCTCATGCGGTTAACATATCATAATTGGAGTGATTTGTTTTTGTTTTGTTTTTTTATATTTAACAACTGAACTTGACAATGTGGGCCATATATAATGCGGGATTGTAGCATGCTTTTATGGGAAATGTGTGTAGCATTTCATGAACTATCAAAAATACTGTAAAATTTTCTTGCATTGCAGCGTTGTACTTCTCGGAATAACTAACTTGTGAACTGATTTACTTTTCTGTTTTGTATTTGACAAGCTTTAACTGGACAATGTTACCATACATGATGCCTGATTGTAGAATACAATTTATCTATGAGCGATGCTTGTTTACGGGCAATTTGTCAAAAGCTGTTAAAAATATGACAACATTGTCTTGCATTTTCAAGTGGTACCTCTCAGAATGACTAACTGGTAAATGCCACTAATCCGAGAGTGGCGAGATAACGATTAAGTTTATTTACGATCATGAATCAATATCGAAAAAATTTCTCAATAAAGTTAACTTTATTTTGTGGAAATATTTCCAATTGTTTTCATTTTATTGTATTTTATCTTATTCCGTTATTTACGATCAATTTTCATCGGCTGAATTGGAGTTCAACTGATATTTCAACTGTTTTGACATTTTTTGATCGAATAAAGGAGAAACATCACTAATATGTTCATATTTGTATATATGCAGGACCCTAAGTCGAAATTGGTAAAAATGCAAAATTTAATGAAAGTATCAAAAAAGTTGAAAAAGGGATTATTTCCAAAACTAACCAGAATTTGCTTCTATTTCGTTGAAGCTTAAACAATTTTGCTCAACCTATATTTTTTGTCATTTTCAATAACCATTACATATTGCTACTTCAAACCATAGAAGTGTGTAGAATGTAGAGAAAGTGGTAAAAACCTATTTCAATATTAATTTTGGTTGTGAGTTGATCCCTTATATTCATTCTCAATTACATGTAAATTTTAGTGATTTTGCTGCATTTTTCACAGTATGGCTGAATTAATAAGTGGAAATTTTTGCAATGAATAAAGCCAACCATCTCTAACCCAATTTATCATCAGAATTATAATCTAGCGTTGTATACTATCGGGCCTTTGTAACTCAGCGAACGGCGATTTCGCTCCTCTGTGCTTGATGTTCTTATGTGAAGCTGTGAATCAGGTGATGTTGTTTTATTGTGCATGGATGAAAAGGCTCAAGTATTTAGCTTTCCATATTTCAGTCTTGATTTTTGGAGTAAATTTTCCGTAAAAGCTGTGAAATAATTCCCCATTACTTTGAATCCCAATAACTTATATATTGAATGAATTGATTGGCCATTCTTAGTATATGTTACATGTAAATGCCAGTGATTTTATTGCATTTTTAACAGTGTGATTCAAATAAATCAGGGGTGTGCAACAGGCGGTCCGCGGGTCACAAGCCGGCCCTCAAAGCCATTTAGTGTGGCCCTTGTAAACACTCAGATTTCTCCACTAAATATTATTGTAATTTTAATTCATTTATTTGTTTAATTCGTTACGAATTTTTTAATTCGTTGTGTAGCAAATTTTTCGTGTGGCGCAGCCAGATTTTTTTTATGGCCTCCGACAAAAAACGTTGGGACATCCAAAAGTATGCACACCGAGATGGCGCACAACCTGAACATAGTATGTGTGTACAGGTTAGGATTCAGGTTGTGTGACATCTTGGTGCGCATACTTCTGGAGCACCAAACGTTGCACACCCCTGATCCTAGGCGTGATTTTTATATCTATCGATTCACAACTTTCTTTTGTAATCATCTTTAATAAATCAGAATTATAATCAAGTATGGCATTATGTAATATCGAGGGCGTAGCTGTACTAAGTGAACAGTGAGTCTCATTGACACATATCGCCTATGGATGAGCATTATCTATAGCACAAGCCCGTTTAGTATGAGAGTATAAGTTCCTAAATACAAAATGGCGTTGTCTTTTGAATCATCGCGCAAGGAAGAAATGTTGAAGGTAACAATATCGCGTTGTAGATGCATAGCAGTATCGATAATATAATGCTTAATATTTACAACGCGAGGTCAGCAGGGAACAAATAACTTTGAGACTGGTTGGGTTTAAAATAAAATGGTAGCGATTGACTTGCCGCTGATGATAAAGTTCGAAGAAAAGCAGCATTACTCAAAGGTAGTAAGCGAACCTAGACTGAAGAAGTCTTGCCAAACAACGCTCTGTTGCCATAGTGTTATTCTGCTATACGTATATTAGAATTTGATTGAAATTGTTACCGTTTCCACATTCAACTTATTCTTCGATCATCAAATATGTTAATGTTTTCATATTTATCTCATGTCATAGAGTTGTTTACTTATGATGAGCATAATGGGTTTATCATGGTAGAATCGTGAATAAGGCAGTTCAAAAGAATTGAAACTACAACGACTTGAGCTCAACCAGAAAGATCTGTGTCGGGCATCTGAGATCCTTCCATGGGTTGTGATTGCGAACGCAATAACTTTTGGCTCTATATCGCCACCTCCCGGCATATAGACAAAATATCTTAGATGTTCCGAACCTTATTTCTTAATAACAATTGATCGTTCCATTAAATTAGCATAAGTAAATTGGGGTCGCGACGCGATCGCGGAACCGTGAACCAATGAACGTTTAGAATCTTTCGATGTCGAACAAGCAATAGTCTATTCTAGGGTGGCCCAAACCCGGGCCCGCGGGCCACATGTGGCCTGCCGCTTTATTATCTGTGGCCCGCGTCGCATTTGCGGAAGGGTAAACAAAAAACCGCATTCGGCGATGTTTCGGCATAATATAACCAGAAAAACTTTTCACATATTGCTACATCACTAATGTCACTGAATTGACTAGTGTTATGGCTATCTGAGACAACTAGCAAAGCTAAATAATGTCCGGATAATAGATAGTCTAAATTGTTAACTGGCTGTCTATCTTTTTGGTCGGAAATATATGCTAACAAAATAGGCTTCACTAAAAATCGAATGAGGAATCTATTAGCTTAGGTTGGCTATGCCTGAAAACGAAATATTAATATTATGACCGAACAATATAATTCATGCCGGGTGTTTTTTGCAACCAGCCTAGAGAGGATTAGAAACAATGCTCCATATATGTCATAAAATTTAGTAATTACCCTCCTGTATCTCAAATTTGGTAAAATTCGGTAATCTATTTCTGCAGTTAGTTGTAAGTTGCGTCGGTGACAGAGTATGAAATCTTACAATAAAGTGACTAAATGTAAATATAGTAAGATTTTTGCACGTACTAGTACGCTTTTTTGTGGTTTTTGCAGGTTTAAGCTTGATAAATGACAAGTAATGATTAATGTGTTTGCACAATAAAGGTGTTTATTTTGTATTACACTGTTCAACTATTCTTGGCATTTTTGTGGCCCGCGAAAATTGAAAAAATAATAGTGTGGCCCGCGAGGCCGACAACCTTGGACCACCCTGGTCTATTCTATACAACCTCACTACCACACACGCTCTCACCAAGTTTTTAACGGAATATGAGCATAAAGTTTTTAGGTGTATTTCCCATTGTATTTTAAGTGTGATTTAATTAAATAAATTTTAAAATTTAGTCTATATTTAAAAATTACAAACCATACTTCTGAAACCATAGGCGGCAATGCAACAGGGGGCTTTCAACACAGGTATATACTCAATGTATCATATTGAAGTGAATTATTTTCTCGTCCATGTTTCCTAGTCTTGTCCACGAATAACTTTTTGTTAATCTACTGCTGTTTCTCTACATCTGACTCGTGGCAGCATGGGTCGTGGCATGTTATCCTTGACAACGGTGATACCAGCTGGAGCGATTCATAGGTGCATGGAATCCGTATTTTTCAAAATTGCAGCTTGGGTAACAATGGTTATGCCATTAGGTACATGGTCCCAAAACACATTGCAAAAATTGTACGTTTATTGGATTTTATCTACTTTTTTATGTTTAGTTTCTCCTTTGAATTTTTCTTCCTTCATATATATACGTTTTCCTTCAGAAAAGTTTGTAAAAGCTATTTGGTGGTTTTCACATTTTTTAAATTTGTTATATACACATATATATTATTCAATTGTTTTGGTGTCTCGTTTTTTTTTTTTTTTATAAATAATAATAATTAGAAGCATAGGCGTTAACTAAATTTAGTTACTAAGCTGAATCAGCATCGTAGGTGTCGCTGCTCGAAGACCTTTCGTGGTCCCTCGCGACTCCTGTCACACATATAAAGTTCGTCTTTTTTGTTTACTTTATATCTTGCCATATTTCGTGATATATTTATATTGATTGTGTTGACGAATAAATGATGATTGATTGATACGTTTTCTGTTTAGGTTAGGTAACTTATCGTCTCACAGTTCTTCACTCATCATAACCCAAAATAGGAAGAATAAGATAACGCAGATTTGCAAATTAGGTGTTGTGGCATTGACAGGATAGTACCGAGTCAGTCTCAATGTTTATCCCTGCAAATATCGGACAACAATCCGCCCGAGCATGGACGTGTGAAACCATATCAAGATTATTTAGTTGTGGCTTTGAGATGTTTGTAAGGTGTAGCATGTTAGGCTTATATAATATAAAGTGTCAAAATAATGATTTGTCATAATCAGAACGTATTGTAGTCCGAAGTAATATTTCAGTGATTCTATGGGTTGTTATAGCAATGATCGAAACAATAACCGCCGTGGCTTTTGAGAATTCAAAGCACATCATACGTATATTCCATAATTAGGCGAGTATGCATTGTACATATAAATTTCACGTTGCGCCGAGCGTACACCGCTGGGAACCTTGTATGCACCGTCTGATGCATACATAAGGACACTGGCTCATAAGTCGAACAATCGATTTGGTCCGTGATTTACGGTACTTGATATTTCAGGGACGACAAAAATAGGTTTAATCGAATTCGTGAAATATTATAATTTGCAGCGTCTTGAATGGACCAACTTGCGAGAACAGTCTTACGTCCTAAAACTGGACTACAGCGCAAAGGGAATTTTTAAGGGAATGTAATGTTAATTTAAAAACGTATTTTTGTGTGAATGCCGTCCCCTAGCAGTTACTTTGCAAGAATAAAGTCTTAATATTCAAGGCAAAGCGTATATACATACGGCCATTGTTGCTAGCTTGGCCTAGATACGCTTTTATCAACAGCCGGCTCAGTTTCAGGTTTGGTGGCCCTAGTGCCTAGTATCCTTCATCAATCCACCTAATTGTTACCCAATAGCAGTTGTACAGTGATTTCACAATTGAAATTTACACAGCTGATCCACCACAAATCTATGTTGCCAGCCTTTTATGGATTGTGACGGCAAGTTTCGCTTCAATCTAACCTGCCAATAGCTATAAATTGTGTTATGTTCTGTGTGCTATTTGACCTATTTTTTACTATCGTAATTTGATGATTTAAGGAGTATACTGCCGTAAAATTGTTTTTGAATTTTAAAATATGAGCATATTTTCGTGAAGTGAAATATTTTCGTGATGTTTAATTAATACCTGCAACCATAAATTCTTTGCGACTATATGATATGAATTCTCTAAGCTAGGTCTTGTCAGCTGTCGGCAACTTGCTGTATTGTAGATTAAACGTATCGTGTTGACAATGTTAACTTTAAAGTGATTTTACTCGAGGAATATTTGTTTCTCAGATTTATCATAAACATTCATAGCCAGTACGAAGAAAATCAGGTGAGATGTTTACTACTACAATGGCGTGTCATGTCCTACCGATACCCAACGTTTCCAGGGTCTCGTGTAGTTTCGTATCTAACCTACTTCTAGTAGCAATAACAATTTTTTGATATGTCAATAACCCCAATCTGACTACGCCATCCAAAAATTACGTCACTACGACATCACAATCACGTCATAGAATTTGCCAAATATACGTACGATCGCCCGAAATTGCATCGGCGCCGACGATAAAGAACTGACAAACGTCATCGATTCTCTCCTATTGGGATCGTTAACGTCATTGATTCTCTCTTATTGGGATCGTAGCGACGAGAAAACGAGAGAAATAGCTGTTCGACTTCGGGTGCTCGTCTGCGGACTATACTGAGGTGTGGTTTTAAGTTTTAACCCCATACTCGACCTTGTAGGCGGCATTCCCCGTGTAATTTGTCCGCACGCGAAAAAAAAACAAATTTGACACTGTTCCGTTAATTTCGTCTAACCTTGGACTACTACCTGGCTAACTATACCTCGCAGAAAGGTAGACTGCTGAATATATTATATTCGCCGGGGATAAACGATAACAATTTACTAAAGCTTGTCGTCATCCACATTGAACACCATCATCAAAAAACTTTTATTTTTGCGTGTAGGATAGATTTTAAATAACACAAGGCTGTCGTGTGTCGTTATAAATGCCACAGAGCATAGTCCAATTATTGCGACACAATGTTTGACTTTATCAATTGTTTGCTAATACGCATCAACGCGCTGTGTGATTAACAAGTCGTCGCGTTATGTAATTCTAAACAACTGCATGTGTCTAGACTTCAGAATAATGAGGGTTGAGGGTTAAATGCTACGTGTAACGAATGTTCAAGACTAGATTCTAGAACAATCGACAACGCCCTACTGAAGCGAAGCCTTTGAAATCACTGTCGGAAAAGGCGGTCTAGGGCAGATTGGGAACTGTTGCAGTGATTAAAAGATTTGAAGAGATAGATTTTCAGTTGTTCGCCATTTTACGAGGGATTTGGATCGATTATATTTTCATCTTCATTTCAAAGAGAAGAAATTCGATAAAACAGATCAATCATACGGCAAACCACTGCCGGCTCTAGTCCATATGTGTTTGGGAATAGTTAGCCAGTTCTTTATTTCTGTTTTATATGTATAAACTGAATGATGGTGAAGCACTAACCGACCAGCGAATACGTGAACCAACCACCATACGACGGTGAGAAGTCCAGCAATCCTCTCGCACATAATTATCCCCTTTTGATACCGTATGGACCGTTATGTATCTCCAGCCGATAGCCATAGTGTAACATGTTTAACTTCTTTCAGCTCGTTAGAAATATTTCAGATTATAGGAAATAAAATTGTCCACTTTTAAGTCTTAAATACTTGATCTTCAAACAAGTATAGCCATACTGGAATAAATGGCAGAAGGGGATCAGCCTCAGCAACAAGTTTTTCATCTTTATTTTGGAGGGAAAATTATTAGTGTCCAAGGAGATAATGCCGAGTAAGTTTTATGATTTAATGCGAAGTTATACACTCACTCTTCAGTCAAAAAAATGACCATATTGCCAGCTACCACCGAAATTCCAAGAGCTACTGCGAAAGATTGCAAGGAATTCGTTTAAACTCATATTCTAGTTCGCTTCATGTCCAATACCCTATGTCAGGCCTGCACAACTCGAATTACCACGAGGGCCGCAAGCATAAATCTGAAGGCCCGGGAGGCCGCAAACTTTGCCACATACATAATTCACAAGATGAACTACAAATCAAAATAATATTGTGAAACAGTTAAATTTAATGAAACACTTTCATTACTGGGGAGCTTAAAAATATTAAGAATCTTTTTTTTTATAGTAAAATCAAGGTACGGTATTTTTGCATATGAGATGGCAAATATGTATTTAGTGGCTCATCTACCTTGAAAACCCACCCTTCATTTCCAATATTTCTTTTTTATTAGAATCAGGTATTGCGTGTTGCAGTATAAACTGACTGCAGGAAAATATTTTACTCAGGTTCAGTCTTGTAAAATCGTCCCAAATATAATTTATGTATGACAATTTATTTAATCATATCTACCATAATTGGATATTTCCATTGTAGGCTAGACAAACAATTCGTTTAGTAGCAATAGATCTTCCTCTGTTGTACTTTTTTGACTGTTAAATTATATTTTTCTACAAAATCCGCTCCAATTTATTTGAAATTTTACAGTAAATAGCAATATCTTTTGTGCGAGAATTTCTGCACCATTCATAAATGAAGGAATTGTTTTTTAAGTTCTAAATTTGAATCAGAAAAGAAACTTCAGTTTCATAAACTGCTAGTAAAAAATATTGGGGTTATTAATAGGTTGCTAATATGCACTAATAGGTGTGAGATTGTATACCGATATTGTTTTAAACGTGATTCAGTCAGAATGAGAAGTGGCGTGTTACCAAATCACCCGCGGGCCGCACAGAAGTATCTAGCGGGCCGTATGCGGCCCGCGGGCTGTATGTTGTGCAGGCCTGCCCTATGTCATTTTATATCCTCTTCTCTTTATTTTTAAAATATTCTTTTTCAAATTTTTCAGGTCAAAGACTGAAATTAGTGCGGGCAAAATCAGCCGAATTACGGTTCAACAGCCAGGTAAAATATTGGTGTATTAAGAAAATAATTGTTGACAAGAAATGAATTTCCAACACCAGCCAGCCGAAATCGATCATGGCTTTCTCCCTACCTCATTATTTTCTGCAAACGCGTTGTGGCCTAAGTTCAAAACCAACATGGGCAACGGCAGAAATTTAGCAAAATTCACACTTCGCGCTCACCAAACCAATGATTTTGTGTGCTCTAAAACAGGGGCGGGCAACTTCTCTAGTCGACGGGCCAAAAAATAATGTTCTCGGCGGGCCGGATTATAACATGAATAGTATTCAATATCTTAATCACATATTTATTCGCTAATGCAAGAAAGAAAATTATAAATCGCGTTTAAAGTAAAGTTTAAACTACAAAAAACACATAATGAATTTATCATAATGTACTAAAAGTGTAATAATATGATATCATAATGTACTGATGTACAGTCAGCGGGCCGGTCAAAATCTCGTCGCGGGCCGGACTCTGCCCGCGGGCCGTATGTTGCCCACCCCTGCTCTAAAATCTTAATGTTTTAATTATAATACTAAAGATTGATTTTTATAGTGATCGGTTTATTACTTATCGATTTTAATCGGTAAGTATGTTGATAGGTATTTGTCTGTCTGTCTGTTAGATGCACGCGATATCTCCCGAAAACGAATCTGCTCCAGATTTTTCATGTGCATTTATCATATCTCGGACCAGAAGCCTATTGATTTTGGGCGAAGTATGTCGTATAATTAGCGAGTTATTAATTAATTAGTGATGGGACACAAGGTGTCACTATGGAGTAAGAGCGCTGTTTTGGGGATCCCCTAACTTTTGATCGATAAGTCCTCGGTCTCTGACCGATATTCTCGTTATAATGTTCCCCATTGAATGAATCCCTTGTAAATCGAAACCAATTTATTAACAGATGCTGCACATTCTACATCAATCAGCCCAACTCAGCCAGCAGAAATATCTAAAGGCATCGAATCTTTGAATCTTTCACCGGAAGGAATTCAGCCCGATTCGATTGCAACTCCAATGCTAACAGGTAAACCTCTAATGCCAATTTGAATCATTTTCTTCTCGTCATAACCTCTTTACGCCACAACTGGGTTATAACAAATTAGTTAAGCAATGCCGAACAGGGAAAGTTTCGATACTTCCAAAATAAATAACTGCACTTTACCTGATCTATCTGTAATGGAATTGAACCCAAGAAACCTTTATTGCATGGCAATGTATTACGATACCTAATTTCAAACCCTAATTAATGGATATAATTTTAAGAGGACTTCCAGTGAGTTTTCGCATTCGTATCATCGATAACCGCCAGTTTTTGTTCATTGCAATTAAAATATACTAATTCTACAGGCGATCTCAGAGTGCAGGATCTTCACACGAAGACAGATAGAAAACCAAATCAACTTAACAAAACGCCACCTCGAACTCAGGAGCTCAATCAACAACCAAAACAAACTGCAGCCGTTCCACGTTATACGACTGCACCCAGTGTAATTAATGCTCCGAAGATTTCAATGCTTCGAAGTAAGTAAAAAAGTAAAATACGTCTTGATGTAAAAGTCAAATTGTGATGGAATCTTTCACGAAGGCTGCGATATGGAAGTCGGAGTCGTTTTTCAAGAACCTAAATTTGAAATCCGCGTTTTTTAAAAAATTAGGGTAACGCGAATACTAGGTTAACGTTCGTAGCAGGCATTTTGAACCCCTAGTCGAGACTTTAAAGCCGGATTTCTCGAGCCCTCTACGTTAAATAGAGATACTCCCTGAATCCGACAGCAGAATGAGAAAAAATAAGTTGGGCATACACGGTTAGAAGCCCGATACAATTATACTCCGCTAATATAAAGAGGAACAGATGAAAATCAATTTAGACCTTTATGCGTTTTCAACTTGAACCCTGAACGAAGCTTTGTAAAAGCAGCAACTGACACTAAAAGAGATACTATTTTTGATGAAATATTTTTGGTTTGCGGTGACTCGATGGGCACGGGTTTCGGACACGCAATTCAAAACTGTGACGTCACCATGGTTAGTCCATTGAGTTCGAGTAAATTATAATATTTTGCCCAATGTGTTTTATATAATACATATTTATATTTGCAAATACAATTTTAATTTTCAACAGGATAACTTAAAATTTGAAAAATCTAAAATATGAGTAAGGCGGGAGCTTTCAGATTAAAGATTCCGGGGTCGAACCCCATAACCATCATCTCACTCATAGTATGATACCTCCGAACAAGGCTCTAAAGTCTAAACAATCAGCCACTGATACACAGTGAGACACTATTTTCAGTAGTCATTTCTTTTTGCTATACATTGAGAGATACTTCGTTTAGACTTTCAACTCTCTATTTTTACGACTCTTTCTCGTAAGTTCTATTTATGATATTTTTTTATTTCCAGAAAAATCTTCCAAGCTGTTCGACGAGTTCAAATTTGAAGAAGCAGTCCCGATCTTAGAAGAACTGGCAACCCTGCAAAACCATCCGGATTTGGATACAATACTTATGATGGTCGAGTGTTTTATACAACTTGGCAGAGGAAACAAAGCGGAAAAGGCTATTGGCAACTTACGAAATATCCTGATGACGTCATCCGTGACAATTGCTGATGACGTCAAATACCTTGCGATTGACTTAATTTCGAATTCCGCTTACATTCGCGCTATAATATTGCTTCGAATAGCAAGTGATATCTACAAGGCTCGCACAAGAACACCCGATGATGTAATAAATGGGATTAAACTTTGTGTCAGTAAAATAGATGATGCTACAAGGCCATTGATAAAAGCCGGAGGTCGATCTAAAATTATAGGAGTGGATTACGGCATAGAATACATGACAGAAATGCTGGATGATATTCGTGCAATAGAAAACGCTGATCCAGTGAATAAAGCACTGAAAGAGGCTTGGTGCTCGAATTACATTGGATATAACTATCACCTGGCAGGTGAAAATGAGAAAAGTATAAAAATACGAAAGAATGGACTGGAGGTTTTGGAGAAACAGTTCGGATCAAACGCTTCAAAATATCAAATCTACAGTGGATTGCTGCATAATATCGGTGTAGGGTATTATAATCAGCAGAAATATTCAGAAGCGGAACCTTATCATATTAAAGCCATTGAAGCTGAACAAGAAGCTCTGGATTATGAGAATGAGGCTGAGAAACAGAAATGGATTGAATTGTCAAAAACTGGGCTCAAGAAAACTCGGGAACAATTAACCTGATATCCTCATCGCATATTCACGGCAAATCGTAATTTTCTAAAATTATCTCAAACTATGAATAAAATATTGGAATCCTTAAATTACATTTTTTGTAATTTGTTAGTGTAAAAAGATTTAGCAGTTTGACTTGGGTAGACCAGTTATAATCACACTCAATTTACTGAAATTATCTTAGAAAATGAATATTTTTCAAATATTTAAACTTTTCATTTACATTCAACCAATGCTGTATTATTCAGTACTGTTAAAAAAATCAGCAGTTTTACTTGCATAGACTGGTCATATCCATTCTCTATAATTTTAACTTTATTATGTCAGTCGCATGTTTTATGAACAACTGATCAAGCATGGTTTATAGATAAAGTTATATTTCAAAATGTTATCATTTATAGATCATACATGACCAGGCGTGAGTTCAGCTTATTTGATAATACAACTTGATTACTTGTAAATTTTGGTTAACTCACTTTCTTGCAATATTACGCACACTCATTTCTGGTCGAAGTTACAGGCCACCACTGAAGTGCCAAAAGCTACTGAAACTATATAGAATTATGGCGGTGCATTACGCGCACTCATACAGAACTAAAAGAAACTCATCTATTAGAAAAGACGACCACTTCCAAATGCCAAGAGCCACTAAATATGATAGAATGATTGTTACATTATACGAAAATGAGCACCATCATCTCTGTTGGTAGAAAGACATGATTTTTTTGTAATTTTACTTAACATTATGATCTGTTCACGTATTTACAATTTCTAACTGAGGTTTTTTTATATTCTTCATTGAAAGTATCTTATACTGTAGCATGATATTTTGAGTGATTTACTTTCTGTTTTGTATTTTACGTTGACCAAGCATTGACTGGACAATATTATCAAACATAATGCGTTATTGTAAAATGCTATTTATATATGGGCAATGCTTGTTTATGAATAAATTGTCATGAGCTGTTTAAAATATAGTAACTTTACCTCGCATTGCCATGTGGTATCTCTCAGAATATCTAACTGGTAAATGCCACTAACCCGAGAGTGACGAGGCATTGACCAAGGTTTATTTACGAATATGAATCAATATCGAAAAATTACTCAATAAAGTGAAATTCATTTTGCGAATATTGTTTTGTATATATTTCTAACTGAATAAATTGATTTCTTTTTATTGTATTTTATTCCATTATTTCATAATCAATTTTTATCCGCTGAATTGGAGTTTCACTGGCATTTCAATTGTTTTGACATTTTTTAATCGAATGAAGGATAAATATCACTATATGTTCATATTTATATGCATAACCTTAAGTCGAAATTGGTAAAAATGCAAAATTGAAAGAAATTATCAAAAAATTGTAAAAAGCGATAATTTCGAAAAAAAAAATTGAATTTGTTTCTATTCACTTGAAGCTTATTACTTATCGATTTTAATCGGTAAGTATGTTGATAGGTATTTGTCTGTCTGTATGGCTTTTTGTTTGTTAGATGCACGCGATATCTCACGAAAGCAAGATTGAGTCTGCTCCAGATTTTGCACGTGCATTCATCTTATCTCGGACCAGAAGCCTATTGATTTTGGGCAAATTATGTCGTATAATTAGCGAGTTAATAATTAATTAGTGATGGGACACAAGGTGTCACTATGGAGTAAGAGCGCTGTTTTGGGGGATCCGCTGACTTTCGATCGATAAGTCTTTGTCCTCTGACCGATATTCTTGTTATTATCTTGTTTTGTTGATTCATTTTTACAAAATTTTGCTCAACTTATATTTTTGTCATTTTAACATAATACTCATTACATATTGTTATCTCATATCCATAGAAATGTGTAGAATGTAGAGAAAGTGATAAAGAGTTATTTCAATTCCACAGAATGTATTAATTTAGTTTACATTGATTCCTTATCTTTATTCACAATTACATATAAATACCAGTCATTTTTTTGTATTTTTTCCAGTGTAATTCAAATTATGAGCTGATCTATATATTCTTGAATGATTTCAATGGCATGTTTTATGAACGTCCGATCAAGCATGGCTCATAGATAGCAACATTTCAGAATGTAATCATCTATGGATCATACTTGATCAAGCTTCGAATCCAGCTTATATACCAAGTCAACACAATTGATTAATTGAATTAATTTTGTATTTTTCATTACTTCTAAATTTTAGTTAATTCGTTGAATCTTTTTAACATTGCACTCACTTTTTTCAATATTACACACACTCATTTCTGGACAAAGTTACAAGCCACCATTAAAGTGCCAAAAGCTACTGAAACTATATAGAATTATGGTGATGCACTACACTTTTTAATTTGACAAGCATTAAATGGGCAAAGTTGCCATACATGATGCCTGATTGTAGAATGCTATTTATATATGGCCAATGCTTGTTTACGGGCAATTTGTCAAAAGCTGTTAAAAATATAGTAACATTATCTTGCATTTTCACATTGTACACCTCAGAATAACTAACTGGTTAATGCCACTAACCCGAGAGTGGCGAGTCATGGCCAAGGTTTATTTACGAATATGAGTCAATATCGAAAAAAAAATACTCAATGAAGTTAACTTTATTTTGTGAAAATTGTACTTTATATATTTCCAATTGTTTTCATTTTATTGTATTTTATCTTATTCCGTTATTTACGATCAATTTTCATCCGCTGAATTACAGTTTAACTGACATTTCAATTGTTTTGACATTTGACACAAGCGATTATTTCCAAAACTAACTTGAATTTGTTTCTATTTACTTGAAGCCTAATTATTATGTTGTTTTGTTGATTCATTTTTGAAATGATTTTGCTCAACAATATTTTTGTCATTTTCAACATATTAACCATTACATATTGTTATTTTATATCTTTAGAAGTGTGTAGAATGTAGAATGCAGGGAAAGTTGTGAAGAGTTATTTCAATTTCACTGAATGTATTATTTTCGAATTTGTTATGAATGATTCCTTATCTTTATTTACAACTACATGTAAATACCAGTTATTTTTATTGTAGTTTTCACATTATAAATTTAACTGTATGCCTAACGGTTCGCAAATTTTTTTCAAAAATATTTAAATTTGAACAGAATTTTTTAGGTGGCGTTCTTATACCTTTACTCCTAACAAGTTGCCACTGATAAGTGGGAAAATGAACTTTTCGGACAAATTCATCAACATTTCGAACCCTATTTATTATTAAACTCAGTCAACGCTAACTTCGTAACTCAATGAACGCCGATTTCACTCATCAGGGTTCAATGTTCTTGTGTGATTCTGCAAATCAGGTTATGTTTACTGTTTATTTTATTGTCAATTATCAACTCTGTATTTTGTATAATATACATGAACATTATTCAACAAAAACTTATACGATTTTTCGACACATAACTAATGTCCTTATGTTTTTATGTATTCCTGGTCCTACCCACATTCTAGTATAGGAATCAAATATAGAATCCTATATTATCCAGGCTCGCTACCTTACTAATGTCGTTGTTGTCAATAAGCTTTTGTAGCATTTGCGTAGCTTATATAAAAGATTGTTGATTGATATTTCAAACATTTGTCACTATAATAAATAATAACTATAGCTAATCCAAGCAATATTACAAGTGTTTGTTAGAGATGAGAGCAGTGTTAACTCTAAGCGAATTATGAGTGCGAAAGTGCTTCGCAGTCGAAAAAAAAAGTGCGAAAGTGCTTTTGCCGATTTTACCAAGTTAGGTGCCCTAGCCTTTCATATAACCCATTTAAAACAGCATAGATACTCGAAAAGCGCTCCTCCGGTTAATATTATGAATTAAAGAGAAGCCTTTCCGTTAACCGAGTTCCCTTTAAGCGAATTCATGTTTAATTAAAACAAGCGAATTCATCGGCAACGAAAGGACAGCTGCTAACACCTGCCGCGGACAAAACTTTCATGCAATGTATCACGGTGTCAGTTGCTTACTTGCGTGAACAGCAAAGGCTTTCACATTTGTTACTCCTTCCACCTAACAGACAACGATTGATACATGCAGGCTGGAAACCATTTTCGTTACAGGGTGGATCATTTGTACAAAACCCGTGCAAAATAATTCCCCCCGTGCGAGGTTTCCATATATTTCAATTACACTAATAGGAACGATGACACCAAAGAGTTTTCTTTTGCGAGATACACGAAATATAACAGGGTGATTCTTGAAAAAAACATGAATATTGAAAATAAACGAATGATATGATAGTGGATCCCAAATAATTTTGAGAGTGTCTCGAAATACCAATCCATTTGATAAATAATTTTTATTCGACCACATGAACGCTGATATCCTGAAAATTAATGTTGAAAGAGAAGTACGCATTCTCAGATACCGGGCATCCAGTCGCGATATTCTATCGTTTATATGCACAAATCTCACATTAATAGTAATTGCTACCAAGTTTGTAAAGTTTAGAAACCAACAAACAGAAAATAACTTACGGTTATTCTAAAACACAATTAAAATTCAGTCGGCAATAAATTGCGCCAAGACGATGTCATACAAAACGAAAAAGATTTGGTCACGAGAGTTACGTTAGAGGGCTGCAAAACGACGTTGTTTTTTAAGCAGAATGTAAAACAATCAAATAAAAAAACGGGAGTTACGACGCCCTTAACACATCGTGTGTATTAAACTTCCCTGGTAAGTACTATTATTATTGTACTTATACACCTGTTGGAGTATTTCGGACAGTTTCGAATTTAAAATAAATGAAAACCCGACATTCAATAAAGACGCAAAAGTAAAATGAACATTTATTGAAAAATTTATTATTTAAGAAAGACAACATGATCGTACAATTCCGCCAAAACCTCGATGTTCGCAAGTGAGATGATAAATAAATACTTCCCTGTATTCGATCAATTAACTTTAGCGTATCGTTGTTCTGCCAACAAACAGCGGGGTGCAAAATATTTCCGTCCTGTGATATGCTCACAAATATTCTCGATATTATTATCATACCCTCGCGTATGTACT